GATAGAGCCCTGACAGGGAATCGAACCCAGGACCCTTCAGTCTGCACTGATGCTCTATCCACGGAGCCACGCTGGCCGGGCTGGGCGGTCATTCTCGCGCAGCATTTGCCTGGCCAGCAGGAAGACAGCCCTGTGCTTTGCCAGGAGAGTTCCGGAGGCTGGCGCCCACTCACCGCCCGCACAGGCCCCGCTCTATCCACAGAGCCACGCTGGCCGGGCTGGGCAGTCATTCTCGCGCAGCATTTGCCTGGCCAGCAGGAAGACAGCCCTGTGCTTTGCCCGGAGAGTTCCGGAGGCCCCACCCTGCTTTGTTCCCTGCGGCTCGAGGCCCCTGAGGAGGCCAGTCTAGCATCCAGCCTCCAGCCCAGGCAGGAGCCCAGGCTCAGCGGTGGCCCAGCAGCCGGCTGCCCCTTGATGGTGCCGGTACAGGATCAAATGGGGGGAGGTCTCCCAGCCGCTCCCTCGGCCCTGGGGCCCTGGCCCCGCCCAACTCTGGGGGCGCTGGGGGTGCTGGCAGAATTGAGGGGTGGGGCCACAGAGGACATAAGGAGCCTCTAGTTTGGGGCGTGAAGGCTCCTGCACCCCAATAGGAGGCAGGGGCCCCGAGGTGCTGCCTGGGGTCACCTTCTGAGCTTCAGTCAGCGCAGAGGCCCACCTGGAGGGGAGGAGCGCAGCCCCAGGCACCCGCTCCCTCTGGCTGGAGGGGACATGCACCCCACGGTCACCCAAGCAGCCCTGGGACTCGCCCTCCGACCGTCCCCACGCCGCTCCCTGAAGGCCCCCGGGTTCCAGCCTCCAGGGCCAGAGCTGTGCACAGGTCCCTCAAAGGGACCTGCCCCTCCCAGGGCCCCCGAATGCCCCCTCCCTGCCCCCCCACCCCCATCCTCAAAATCCTGCTTCCCAAACAGCTCTCCCAGCCCAGGCCCTGGGCCCTCCCAACCCTCTCGCCCTCACTGCACCCACAGTCTGTGCAGGCCCCTGGCTGCCCCTTGGACGGTCCCAGGGGGACACTCCCTCCGTCTCCCCAGGGCGCCCGCTCTCCTCCACCTCCTCAGCTCCCACTCGTGGCTGCAGGAATTGCCCAGCCGGGCGCCTCCTCCCAAACTGTGGTCAGGCCCACACCATCGCTGGGGCGGACGCCATGTTCCTGCGGAGGGGCCTCCTGGGGGTCTTCACGCCCTGTGCTAGCCCTGCAGTGCCCGGGCCGCCCCATCTCCGAACAAAACCCTCCCTCACCCCAGACCCTCCAGCCACGGCTCTTCTCTGCCTCCCTCCCCCGCTCCCCCCTCTAGACCCACAGGCTGGCTCCTCCCTGCTCTGCTTGCCTGGTCAAGGTCGCCGTGACCTCCATGTTCCCTCCTGGCCTCCTACTGGCTGGTTTCTGTGTGCGCCTCCCCCATCCTGTTCCCCACTCCCCTCCGCCCAGGCCTCTCTGCCCCTCGCAGATGTTGCAGGACGCGGCCTGCCTTCCCCAGGGCTCTCCCTGCCACACCTACTGCCAGGACACCATCCCGCTGGCGATGCCAGGTCCCGGGTGGACTCCTGCAGCCAGGGGCA